GTATTACTTTAAACTGTATAAAAAGTGATGTTACACAATTTTGTGTAACAGCCAATTATACAAATGTCCGATATGCTATAACGGACTGTATTTTGTTAAATGGAAAAAAATATATGATTAAACAACGAAATATAATCCTTTTTTTTAATTTTTGATAAATATGGCTAAAATAATTTTTTTTTATATATAACGATCTAACCTTTTACTTTTTCATTTCTTAGAAATAAACGATTATTTCAAAATTGTTAACGATGAACAGTGTACTTATTATAACTTTTTGAAAAAGTTTCAGTACGTCATTCTGGATGCTCCCCCTTATACAGATGATTGGACAGGTATAGATGGAGTTTGGTACAGAAGATATTCTGAATATGCTAAAAAAGCAGGCAAACAAGCAAGTGTTGATTTTTTTTTTCACAGGAGGGCACCCACCGAGTCGTTCTATATGGCGTTTCGCACGTATATTTTACGATTTAGTGGGTTGATGGCCCAAGTGATGAGTGTGTGCGTTCCTGAGTCGTTCTATATGGCGTTTCGCACGTATATTTTACGATTTAGTGAGCTTGACGATTCTTCGTTGCCTCCTCATTGCGATCTACCAAAAAATTTTCTTTTTTAAATCTGTGTTACAAATTTGTCAATATCTATTTTTTTTTTATAGATACATCCACATGCACCAATGAAATCCTTTTTTGAAGAAATTATCATGGAACGAAAGAAGGTTAGCAATCTTTGTAATCTCTAATTATTCAATATTAATAGAGAAAGATAGACGTTTGCAATCGTCGTAAAAAAAATTTATTTTTTATTGATACTAATTATAGAGAACTGTTCAAAGAAATTACATAAGTTCCAGTATATATGTATTGGACAAATCAAGAGAAATTGGTGAACAACAACTAATTTTAGATTTATCTGAAGCAGCACCAAGTAATATAAAAAGATCCCAAGAAGATGAAGTGGAAAAATCCTCTAAGAAGGTGAACAACGACAGAAATTTGCAATTAATAGTTATTATTTTGTATTAGTAATTGTCATTATTAAACTGTTTTTTTCCTTTCTTTAATTTAGTCAAAATCGATCATTAATAATAAACATGAAGAATTTGTTTTTGAACAAAAGAATTTGGATGTTAACGAATCACATGACAAAAATGAATTTGATAATGTTGATTTAATTGATTTAATTGATGAAGAAGGAGAATTATTTTTTGAAATTACTGAACTGTCATTAATACAAGAAAAGGTCCAAAAAGCAATTGAAAACTGTACTGATGAATTGCAAATTAAATTACTAAAATGGCAGCAACACATGCTTAAAAAATTAGAGTCTGGTACACATTGTCCAACAAGTCAAAATATTCATAAATTGCTTGCTACTTCATCAGTTTTTTATTTCCAACAAAAAGTTGAGCATGCATATATTGATTTTTTAACACCTTATGAAATTGCTGCAATCAAGTCACTTGTCAACTCAGACTTTGAACAGATTGGAACTTCAGATGATATCAAGTTGTTTGTGGAAGAAAACAAAAAGGTTTGAAATTAAATTATACATATATCTTTTTTTTTTTTTTTCTTCACAAATATTTATCTCTGTAGAAATTTCGACGGGATGCTCTTGAAGAACTTGAAACATATATCAAGGAATGTTCAATAAACCAAAATGGATGTATAAATAAAACTTTTTTTAAATTACTTGAAGAGTTGTGCTGTAGAATCCCTTAATTGATATGAAAAAGTTAAATGAATCAATTTATATTGTGGATTACTTGGGACCTATTTTTAACAAAACCATTCATTATTTCAATTATGTTACTACTCATTCGTGATATAATATAATGATTTTTATATATTCTCAGTTAATTTTCAAAGAAATTAATTCATTATGATTCGTTTTTATAGGATTAGTGTTGAATCTAAAGCTTCTAAACTATGTAAAAGTCCTGCTGATGGTAGAATTCCAGACTATATGCTCCACAATCAAAAAAATACTCGTACATCTGTTTTTTTAGAAGTGACAAGCCCTAAACGTGAAGATGAAGAAAAAAAAATTAATTGGGACATTTACAGGGCTTCAATACATGCTAAGGATGCTATAGATTATGATATTAAGAAATTTAATATTCAACCATCATCTGGGAAAAAGTTAGCAATTTTTATAAACGGATATAAAATGGTAGTATGTGTAATGAAACTTCAATATCCAGGAATTTATCTAATGGTTGAAGTGGCCAATTGTACAATTCCAAATTCTGTTCGTCAATTAGAATCAATTATGAAACTTCATCAGACTTTGATTAGTATTAAGGTAAATTTTTTTCTTTTTCATTGTTATTTTATACTTAATTTTAAAAAAAGTGCTCTGATAATAAAGTAAAATTATAGGAAAATGCAATAGATTATCTTGAAGAAGATGGATATAGTATACCAACTAGTACAAATTATTTTGATTGGATTAATCCAACTGCAACTACACCAAGTAAAAAGATCACAAATCTAAAAATCCTTAAAGAATTCAATCATATATAACTAGGATCGAATACATTCTCGTTTAAAAGACTGCATTATTGCATTGGGCGTGTATACAGAAACGAAATAGTCACGTGCAAATTTTTTTTATATTTTATGAAAAATGTATCGTTGGATTTAGTTGAATTTTATTGAATTTTTGTTAGATTTTATTAAATTTTAATAAAAAAAATTATATTAGAAATAAATTAATATAAGAAAAAATTACTTATCTTCTATTTTTAGTAAGTAGAAAATGTTATTCGATAAAAAAAAATTATTACAGTAAATGAAATTATATGATATACAGTCAACCCTCTCTATAATCACACCTTATATAATCACACCCTCTTTATAAGCACACTATATTTTAGTTCTGATTTTTTAAAATATAAAAACCC